TTGCATGCCATGGCAGCATGGGTTTTCGAGCTTTTTCGAGGTGAGGCCATCGACTCTGGCGAGTACAGCCCCAGGCTGCGATCGTTTTTCTGAGGTCTTGATCCTCCGTAAGGAAACAAGTGGATTTTCGTGCGTTGATGTCCCAGACTGTCACGTCATTCACTTGAAATCAAGTGCGGATGGCCATTTGATGCTTTCCCGCTTGAACGGCATAAGAACAGGCTTTCACGGATGTAACACTTTGAAGACAAGCCGTGAAGGGAATCCTCGATCCGTGCTGCGTGGCTCTGCTTTGGCCTTAAGTTCGGGTGGTGGCTGTCTGGTTCCTTTGCCCACGCGCCGATTCTCAGAAATCACCGTGATCCACTAGCTAGAATCTAGCACCAGCAGAAGACAAATCTGCGATGCAAGCTCAGGTGCAGATGCGCTGAAAACACGGCGTGCAAGGCATGTGCAGCTGGCAGATGGCTGCGCGTTTGGGGGCTTGTTGCGGTCCTTCATATTCTTGCAGTTTTTCATCCCAAGCCTATGTTGAACAAACAGGTGCTGATTAGTGTTTCAAAGCAACCTTGGCACAGGTTGGAGACTTCTGCGAGAGACCCTCCGGTGCCAGAACGCAGGACCCTCGCGTCCGCTCCAACACACGGGTGAACCACACGTGGCAGGTACGTGGTTGGTGGTGTGATCATTAATCAAGTCTTCAGAGATGAGGTGGTCCCTGGAACTTCATTGTTCGGTCAATGGCACACTAGCCATCGTAGATAGGCGTGCCAAGTGTTGCATGCTCAGCAGTGACGGCAGTTCTCAGGTATCCTGCAGTAGCTGCAGACCAGCCACATCTTCAGGATGTCTATCTTTGCAGGACCCCTTGCGCCTCTGAGCAGCAGCTGTCTGGCAAGAGTCTCGGTGGCTGGCTGCATTTTTCGTTGCTGAGTTGAATATGAGGTTCTTCCACAATTTGTAGCGCTTGCCCTGGCATCTGAAATCGTAACTCAACATAGCTGGGGCACTCGCACGGAAGGTTCGAGAAAGAATGTGCTGAACGCCCCTTAGTAAGCACTTGCCTGAACTTTCAAGTCTTGCATCATCCCTCGCTCCTTCCCTTCGCTTGCAGACGCGGATGAGAATGCTTGGGTGCAGGCCTGGCCTGAGCATGGGAAGGTGTGGGAATTAAGTTTTGAATCTTGCAGTTAGGTCTTTCTACTGGCGGGAAGTACTGTCTGCAGTTTGCACTGTGCTGGATGCATCGTGCACGCCTCAAACCAAGAAACGTAAAGGCGTCTGACCGCGAGCAATCCTACATTGCTACATTCACTCGCCTGTCAAGGTGGTGAAGCGACTGTTCACTGAGGCAGCTGAGGAGGTCTGGCCATGCCCGGTGGAATATGTCACCGAGCAATGTGAATTTTACGAGTCCTTTCCAATTTGTCGACACAGTACCCGTAGTCTCTAGCGGTTTCCGCTCTTGCACCCTTTAGTTGTCTTGAAGCCCCGCAACCTCGTTTCCCAAACCATACTTTTCAAGAGCTCCCGCGTCCTCTGTGGGGCTGTCCAAAAACCATTGGAGGAATCCTTACTATATCAACGCGTACAACGAGCACAGTAGCATAGCCCAGAAATGCCCTTTACCCGCAAGTCAACGACAGTTTCCTGGCCAAGGTCTGACAGCCTCTAAAGATTTTTTACAGTTTTACAGGTGCTTGATAGTTGTTGCTACTCGTGCTACCATGCCTCTTCTCATTGCTGCATGTAAGCCCATGCTTTTCATTGTCCCTGTCCTGGTCAGCATAGTACCCTCACCATTATGTAGGTAAACTTCCCCTATTTTGGGAACAGTAAGTTTGACCAAGTCCCATGTAAATGCATCGCATTGTTAATTCTGCTGCCAGGAAGAGCCCCCCGCGAAGAGAAGGCGATTAGAGGAGATGGAGGCTTCTGCTTTATGGATCCTTTCGCTGATCTGACAAGGTATATGTTGGAGATTACTCTCTTTTGTTGGAACTGGCATCTTGAAAGACTATTTGGGAGCTATGTAGGGCTGCATACAACCTCGTTCATAGCTCTTCCTAGGGTTCGCGTGTTTCTTAACAAGAGTGCATGGTGCGATTTTTCCTCCACAAAAGATAGACTTGTGGGTAGTAAGCTCGCTGTGTGCTGCCTCAATCCAGAGCATGCATGCTCACCTGTTTTCTTGCAAGTAGTGAATCAAGTTCCCACGAGCCCAAACAAATGTCAGTTTGGCTTGAACAATGAAGTGACAGTGCTTCTCTGCGCCGAGCCCTGCCTCGTTTCAACCCGTTTTCTCGAGATGATGCCTGTCGCCATCTCCATGTTCTTCTTGTTCCTGCGGGCAATCCGGCAATCCACCGTCAAGGGGTTGAGGGAGCTCAACGACTTCACCCGAATCAGGTTGAAGGTAAGGTGGACAGGAAGAACTACGCAATTCATGTGTGGAAAATTTCCACACAGTGGGTGGGCTCCTCGCGGAGGACCACAAGGCCGGAGACCATGGTCACAATCCCCCCTGTGAGGGTGATCCTGAATGTGATTAGCAGGGAAAGGACAATCCATAGTCGGCGTGAGGAAATCATTCAGGCTGTGAATGATGCGGGCCCACACATTGGGGTGGTCATGCGTATGTCTGAATGGACGTTGTGATCCACAGCCAGCCCAGGAGAAATGTGCAGAATTTCAAGGACCCGAACGAGGTCTTATAAAAGCTTGCCAAATGCACAACAGCACCGCGGTAGCCCGGCAGAAGACTGAAAAGGAATTGGCGATGCATGAGGACATCCATCTTACCAAGCAAGTAAATGTCAGAGAAGAGGTGAGGCAGAATCAAATCGGTCAAATCATCTGCCATGATGGGAGCCAGAGAGTGATGACAGGAAAATGCAAGTTGGGGAAATAAAGGATTGTGAACGGGAAGCCGTGCAATGCCAGTGCAGCGGGATGACTGGAAGCGGGCTCCCCGCCAACTGAGACGGAGCCCCAGATCAAAATCCAAAGCAAAAGGAACACTTCAAAGAAGACATGCTCATGGCATGCAGGGACGCGCGTCTTGTCGACATGTTTTGGTTGCCAGTGCCAGCTGCAAAATCCATGAAATATCAGGTTACGTTGAAGTGCGACATATTGGGTTGAGAGTGTTGAGACAGCAGGGTCATCTTGAACTTGCAGCTCAGCCGAAATGGCCATCGCCGACTGCAAGTGCCACTACGCATTCAGAGGCGCTTGGTGTTTGATGGCGTTGCAGTAAATGGCTCGGCTTTTGGAAGAGGCATTGTTTTCAGAGCAGGCGGACCAAGGAGACTCACGATGCAGGTGACTGCAGGCAAGTTGCCCACCAGGAAGCGAAGGGCAGAACGCAGATTAATGCAGAGAATGCAGAGCGCGGACCGCGTGGTTTTGAAAAATCACTCGCCTTTACGGCAGGGCTGGTTATAAAAGCCCCCGGACGAACTTTGGATGCCACCTTGACGAGGACATGACTGATCTGATGCAGCTAACATGCGAGTGATTTTGGTCACGAACTGAGAAGTGCACTTGGCAGGGTCAAGCAAAGTAGGGCCATTTTCAACAGCACGGACGTGGTGATTAGCCTGGAAGTGCGCCGCATTCAGAGCAATCTATGGTACAACCAGTGTCGTGATATCAGACCATAAGGATGCTGTGAAGTCTGCTGGAGCAAACAATGATAAGAAAACTTGTCACTTGCCTGTATGCTAGGGAGGAATCAGTTATGCTGAGCTGACCCCTCAAGGCAATAGGGGCACCCAGTTGCACCAAAAGGCAAGAGCGGAGATGAAGGCTGCCAAGAAACAATTGTGCTGAGGCTCCGTGTTGTAAGTAATATCTGTAGTTTTGCTGACCGCCTGGATGCGCAGAAAGAGGTGTGTCAAAAAATCAAGCTAACACGCCAATTCTTTTGAATTCACATTGCCAAACAAGTTCAATAATTTATTTCTTGTTTGCTGCCTCTTGGCCAGGACTTGGAGACTTCGGCAATCCAAGCAGCCCCGCAAATGCACAAACTCCAAGTTAGCGGAGCCCTGCGGCGTTGGTGCATTGCCGGGATCTAAGGCGATCATGCAGTTGACGTGTCGTGCAGTCTCTGAAGTTGTGAAACATCAGCAGATACTGCAATCATACTTGAATGTCATCTGCGGTGCAATTTGGTGATTTTTTGTCCGATTTTGTACGTGCCCTTCATCGATAAATCAGGACTTGCGCTGCACAGAACCTAACTCTCAGGCCTAAGCCCAGATTGCATATTGTTAAGGCAGTTGCAACCTTGGCGCTCGAGGCATGCGCAGGCCTCAGGGACTGCGGTTTTGTTGCAGAGAGTTGAAGACATGGAGCGAAGCTTTCAGTTCTGAATTGTCTGTTTAGGCAAGAACGGTTGGTAGTTCTTACAATACAGATGTCATGCCTTGCAGCGGAGCGGGCATTTGCAGAACATCCTTCTTTGCCCAGGGCATCCCGTATCTCTATGCATGCTTACACCCTGTACAGTAACACGCATTCGGGTTCCTGAGTGCCGCTGAGTGCCTTCGCCAGATGATGCCCAGGTGCTTTGCTGGGTGAATCTGGTGACATACAAGGTGGGAAAATGTTATTTTGGACCGCTGTCACTCACCTCTCAAACCCTTTCGGGCTCGAACGTTGTGTTGTGGTTATTCAGCAGCCTGAGCTATTGAAATTGCAATCAACCACCGGATCTGTGCACGGCTTTGAGGCAGCCTGGCCTTGCTTGCAGCAAGCAGACGCTGGCTTCTGGCCAGCTTCCAGGACCTGGCTTGTCGAATTGTGACTCGCCTCTCCTGAGCACGGATTTTGGACACGTCCAAGACCTTGCGAGGAATGGCTTCTGGGTCGGCGTGCGGCACTGAATTCCGTGGAGATGGTGTAGCCTGTTGCCAGAGTGAGAGCTAGAGTGTCCTTGTGTGTAGTAGCAGCGAGGTGAACGCCTAGCCACTGTCCGTTGGCTCCGTGGGAGGATGTCTGAGATGCTGCGGCAGGGAAACCCGGCAACCAGGCGTACGACAATCAGTACGCGATGCCTTGTCATGTTCAAGCCCATTACGCACTGCCCATGAGGCAGCCAAAGCTGTCGTTGCAGCTTTCATCAGTTCCTGTGGTTCCATGCGGTGTTTGTTGCTCAAGGTGAACAGGTTAGAAACGGTAAGCCATAGCCGTCAGCCCCCTTTTGGCAATCGGAGGATGCTTCCAGTTGAGGATGTCGTGGCTAGCCCATGGGGGGCAACCTGGATGCCTCAGCTAGCTTCTTTTTCCCGTCAGTCGGGCTCCGGAGTTTGTTAGGCATAGGGGGATTAGAAATGATAGGAAGCCTCTGTGTCTCTTGCTTGAGGCCAGCCTCTTTTTGACATGCTGTGCCATCATCGCGTCTGTGGGCTTTGTCTTGGCACTGGTGGAGGAAAGCCCGAAGGCAGGCTATTCCAATGCTCCTACGTCCCACCTCATTGAGTGCGCGGACTCTACAGACCTGCTCTTCTCAGACCTCTTCTCGGATGGGACCGGTTTGGGATTGCTAGAACCGCTTTGGCGGCTTTTCACCCCTGAGGGCGCCTTGTGGACGCTCCTCACGGGCTGGGACCCCCGAGACCATGCCTCCTCCCTGGGGTTCTCTGGAATGTTGGAAGCCATCGCAAGCCTCATTGCCACCGCCCTGACCCTCTTTAACCATGCTATGGGGGCCCTTCTTCGCCTGATCTTCCCAAGCCGGCGCAAGGGCGCCAAGGGTGGCAAGGGCGAGACAGGAAGCACAGCACACGAGAAGATTGAGATGACTTTCCTCCAGGAAGCCCACGCATACTTCGGCTATGTGCGCCTCTTCTGCCTAGGCCTCGTCCGCGAATACATTGTCCGCGCATGTGCATTCTTCCTGAAGGATGAGATCTGCGTCCGTTACATGCAGCGAGAGAAGTGGAGTGTCGGTTGGACTGATTTCTACTTGCAGCATATGTACAAACTCTACGTAGACTGCTTTGCCCGGCCGATCGCTTCCGCTCCGGATGCTGCTGTTGATGTCGTGATCAGGGAGCGTGCTGGCGGAGACTTGTTTGGCCCACTTAATGAGCTGAAGCTCACGAAGAAGACGCGGAAGTGCGTGAACCTTTCGTCCTACAACTACCTCGGCTTTGGTGGCGTTGATGAGTAGCTTGGCAGCCAAGACTTCATCTTGCTAAGCCTGTATCGGCTATTGTGATGCAACAGAAGAAGGTCTGGATTGATGTTCTGCCCAGGTTTTGCACTCCAGTGGCACGAAAGGCCGTGCGTGAGATGGGCTGGTCCACGTCCGGAACACGCACAGAGGGTGGAACCAAGGAGTGACCGCACCGCAGAGCTGTTTTTCACTTCTCTGATCTGGCTCTTTGTTCTTGTGTCTTGGTAGGACATTCACCGCCAGCTCGAAGATGAGGTTGCGGCATATCTGCAGAAGGCATGCTTCTTAGAGTTATCAAAGAAAGCTGACCCGGAAAGGACTGAGCTGCGGTGAACGGTCAAGCCTTCGCTAGGAAGATGCCCTCGTGCTGGGCATGGGCTTTGCCACCAATTCCACGATTCTCCCAGCTCTCTTTGAGGCCCGCAATCTTGATCAAGTTACCGGTTGCCAGTGTGAATGCTGCAATCTGTTGCTGCTGCAGCGAGTAGAGTGGGGATGGATGGCGCGCACCACAAACTTTTGTCTCTTTCTAGTATCCGCCGTCAACACTTTGGAAACATAATAAGCATCTTTCCAACTTGTGGAAGGAGGCTTCCGATGCACCCTTAAGCTTTGCTTCAAACCTGGTCAGCCAAGGCGAACGCCAACGGTGGGGGCATCTTGGTCTTGAGTGACGAGCTCAACCACCGATCCATCGTGGAAGGCCACAGCGGATTATCGAATTCGTTATCAGATCCGTGAGCAGAAATGCAGATCAACTCCGGGCTAATTCCCTGGACCAGAAGCACACACGCACGAGTTGGAGGAGTTTGAGTGCTTCCAGCCCTCATCACACCAGCTAATTGAAAGGAATTTGTGCTCCGGTAATTGTAGCGTTATTCACACCTCAAACGTGATTCAGTTCTGGGCGTCGAGAGACCGAGCTGAATTCAGCAAGCAAAAACAGCGCATGTCGAAACTTCAGGTACCCCCACCACTCGCAATTTCTGCTTCACCCCTCAAGAAACCCCATTTTCCTGTCCCGATACATCTCATGTAGCAGAGGCGTGCGCCTATCTGGCGCTACTGTGCGAGCTTTCGCCCACAATGAGATGACTGCCTTGGAAGGGGAGCTGCAGAAGGCCATAGAAAAAGGCCAACCAGGCAGGGCTTCTGAAGATAAGCCTTCTCTGGCACTGTGGACCCAGCTTTGCAACGTCTCTGCTTGGGGATTCGCTTCGCACTCCCTTCTGCAGTTTGTTCCGCAGCAAGGCAGTGGAAAGCCCTGGCGCAAGATCTTTGTAGTTGTGGAAGGCATCTACTCCATGGAAGGCAGGGGACCAGTAGACACAAAGCCACCTTGAGTCTTCGAACGTCGGGACCCCTACCGTGGGCAATAGGCTTGCAGCACTGCGCCAATGCCGTGGTCGGTGTTAAAATACAAAGCACAGGTGACTTCTGCCGCTTGCGCGAGATAGTGACTTTGAAGAACAGGCTGGAATGCGGCACCTGCACTTAGATTCCACGTGCACAGATGCAATGCTTGTGGCCGCCACATGCCTGCTTCTTGCAGGTTTAGATGCGAGCTTCATGCTACATGCGAGTTTCTTGATTCAACAACCCCTGATTTGCAGGTATGGCGCCTACCTGTATTTAGATGAGGCACACTCCATTGGTGCTGTGGGCGCCACGGGGCGTGGCGTCACCGAGCTCCTGGGAGTACCCACTTCTGAGGCACCCGAGACTGATAGAACTTGCAGATGTGGTTCTAGTTTGGGGGACATGACAGGTGGACATCATGATGGGCACCTTCACCAAGTCCTTCGGAAGCGCTGGTGGCTACGTTGCAGCTTCCAAGGAGCGCTCCAGCATTTCGTTCGGGGGTGAGGCCGAAAGGATTTGTTTTGGTGCATGGGGCAGCTTCCCACTGTGAAAGTGGAGGCAGTTTCCAAGTTAAAGACGATAAAGTCCAAGCCTCCCGCTGTGATAGTGTTGGCGGTTAAGCATGTGGACTGACACCCTAGCAACCGGGCATTGGCCAGGAAGTCATCGCTGCCCTTCGCAGGGGCGCGCCAGGAAGTGTGTGTCTTGAATCGTTCATTAGTGATTTCAAGTGCTGTCAATGCTGCAAGATGCAGATACTCGCAACTCGACTAGTCCTGCCGCCATGCTCCTCTTGCAAATTCCTGCAAACACGATCACTCGTTTTCGGCTGCTTCGTCATGCGGTTGTCCATATTGTCTCGTCGCCGCTGCTGTATCTTCCAGCTTCTCTGAATTAAGCAACTTCACCATTTCTGTTGTTGTTGGCTGTGCTCTCATGCAGCAGCAACACTAGGCGCAGTGCGTAAGACTGCAAACTGGAGCTGCTCCTCCGACCGTGCCGGCAATTCCAGCTGCGCTGCTGCGGGGGTCAGTCGCTGCTGCTGCCGTCACCACTGCCGCTGCCACCAAATCCAAAGAATCACTTCTTCGCCAACAGTGGCATTGTAACCGGCTGTCTTGCCTAAAGCCATACTGATGTACTTCGATGTACTTGCAGCTCGAGGTTTGCCTGCGGAATGGCCCCGCCTTGCGCGGCCCAGGCCATCCAGGCTCTACGCGTCATCTCCGGCAAGGAAGGCAGGGTGGAGCTCTGAGCTCTGCGCTGCCACAGTGCTTGGAGCATGTGCTGAGGAAGTAGGGTACTGGGAGCATGAAGGTGCATACTGCATCTAGCGTAAGCCAGGAGGTCTGTTGCAGAGAGTTCTTGGTATCATGGGGCCTAGTGTGCACGGTTGCGGCTCTCATGTTTGAATGCTGATTTGCGTACGAGCGCTGCTTGCTTTCTTTATCGGATGAATGCTTCTGAAAATGCGACCCCTGCCAACTGGGCGGTGGATGCGGTGGAAGGTGGCGACACTGGGGCCCGCAAGCTGGGTGCCATCAAGGAGAACGCCAATTACTTCCGCGAGGCCCGGTGCCCGCTGCCTGTTCGGAAGCGTTGCCTGCACCGTGGGCCATACAGGAGCTGAGCCGCCGTGGCTTCAAGGTCCTGGGAGACGTGGACTCCCCAATCATCCCGGTGATGTTGCACCATCCCTGGAAGATGGGTGCCTTCTCCAGACGCTGCCTGGACCGTGGCATTGCAGTGGTTGTTGTGGGCAACCCTGCGGTGCCCATCCTTTACGAGCGAGTGCGCTTCTGCATCTCCGCAGCTCACACCATTCCTCAGTTGTCTGAGGCCATCACACAGATCACCGCAGTGGGACAGGAGCTTGGTGTGCTCTTTGAGCTGGCAACCTCCAAGCAGGAGCTGGAGGCTCGAGCAGCCAAGGACCAGGCTTATGCCTCTTGGTTGCGCTCTGCGCCACTCGTAAAGGCCGTTGATGCTGCGAAAGCAGTGGACTGGCAGCCTGAGCCATTGTCACCAGCCGCTCCTGCAGAGGGCAGCTTGTTGTCGTCGCTGCAGGAAGCCTGTGCTAAGCCTGAGAAGGCTGTGCCTGCCAGTCACGAGTTCCGGTTGATGGACCCGCTGGGTTACGCGGCCTCACCGCTGGAGGCCGCATTCGAAGCCACCGAGGCAGCGATGGACCATTACGGCTTTGGAGCCTGTGGCCCTCGAGGCTTCTATGGTGGTGCCCTACCGCATTTGGAGCTGGAAACTGCTCTCGCCAACTACCTCGGCTGTGAATCCGCCATCGTCTACTCCGCCGGTGTGACCACGGTCTCTAGTGTCATCCCTGCCCTGGTGCAAACAGGAGACAAGGTGATTGTGGATTCCGAGGTGCATCTTGGATTCCGCGCCGGCCTTCGCCTGTGCAAAGCTGATGTCACCTGGGTTCCCCACAATGACCTCTTTGCCATCGAGAAGGCCCTTGCCGCTAAGTCTACTAGAAGCCTGGAGAAAGGCCCCTTGCTCGAGCTGGTAGAGTGTTCCGAAACCTCTCTTGGTTTTCTGGTTGTCACGTGGTGTGCTGTCGTCTAGTTTCTCAGCCCCTTGAGGTGGCAAGGAGTCCAAGGAATCCAGGAGGACTTTCATCATGGTGGAGGCCATGAACCAACGCACCGGGCAGCTGGCGCCTCTGGCAGAGCTTGTGAAACTGACCCTCGCTATAATGACACTCTTGTTTTTTTGAACGGCTAAGATGACTTTGCGGCAATGTTGGCCATCGGGTTTAGGACGAAGCTAGGAATCAAGTCCCCAGGAAAGAAAGATATGGAGCCTTGCTCGTGCTCGACGAGACCCTGTCCTTTGGCTGTTTGGGCGAAAATGGCAGGGGTCTCACAGAGCTCCAGTCCATTCCATCAAAGAAGGCAGGGAAAGCATTACAAATCAACATGAACGTGCACCTGGCATGATGCTTGCTGGGTGGCAGGTGGATGCGATCCTGGGCTCGCTAGAGCATGCCACTGCAGGGGTAGGCAGGGCTGTTTTCCAAAGAGGGATGTAGTTTCGCTGGTGGTGCTGTCAAGTTCATTGTGGTAATCAGGTTTGAAGTGCAGTCATTATGCGCTGCCAAGCATTTGACAGCACGCTTTGAAGGCTGCCTATCGACTCATGTTTGCCCAGCTTGCAAAAGACATTCCTCTAGCAGAAAGACATGCCAGAAGAAAAACAACAATGCTCCAACGAAAGTCCAGAGAACCAGAGAGCACACGACTGGTGCTTCTCTGTCACCAACACCAGGCGGCTTTTGCGCGGGCCGAAAGGGTCTCGTTGACCACCAAAGGCCATGTCTGCTGTACGTTGCAGTTTGGGATTGTAAGTTGTAGGTTTGTTTTTTTTCATCCCTGGATGGCAGCCGGATTGAAAAGCATCTTAGTGTTCAGATGCGAGGCTTGCCGGAGCTGGCTACTGCTTCTCTGCATCATGCCCCCCGCTCCTTGGACAAACTGGAGCGTTGTAGGTAGGTTGGGTCGCGCAAAACATTCGTCCTAGTTAAGGAAGGACCTAAGGAGCATCAGCTCTCTTACTCAGGTCGGCATGCTCTGCGGCAATGGCAACCGTGCAAGACCTGGCTTCTGCAGAAGGCAGAAGTCGTCGTGAGCGTCTAACGGCCGCTGCAGCAAAGCTGCACCAAACTCTGGCCTCTATTGCTCAGACAGCAGACTCTCCAGTGGAACTGCTGAGCAGTTCCGAATCCTTTGTTCAGCAACTTCGGTGGAAGCGTCCTGACGAAGCAGAGCAACAGCTGCTGCAGCTGAGCCGGGCCCTCGCCCAGGACGGGCTGCGCGCGCAGGTCTGCTCGCCGGGCCTGTGTGGCTCAGAAGGAGCTTTCGATGCTCGGCTGAAGGCACCGGATGCAGCGCGGCCTAGCCTGCGCTTCTGCTGCTCAGCGGAGCATTCTGAGGAGGATATCTCCAGACTGGGGGATGCTCTGCGGAAAGCTTTGCATTTGTGAGTCTCAATCTTCCAGCCTACCGAAGTGTAGCTGCTTTTTGCTGGGAGGCCTACACACTTGTGACCTCATTTTACTGATCCAGCGCTATCGCATTACGTTACTTCAGTGCAGCCACAACAGTAACCATAGACTGAGGGATCCTCCCAAAAAGGAGTCCTACATCCAAATTCATGCTTGTAGTGTACAGTGCCGTGTCACCGTGCCAAGTTAGCAAGCGAGCTACCCCGCGTACATTTTGCTTCGAATCGTCGCAATAGTCATGGCATTGGTGGGAGACAGTGGGTACTGCAGGAGGCTGCACTGGTTTATGCTTGAATGTGCAGTCACTTTAGTTCAGGCAACGTAAAGGATTAGCCTTTAGCCGAGCGCAGCCCAAGGTCTTTGATGACCGCTCTTGGCTCCCACGCCCACAGAGCATTGGAGCTGCTGCTGGCTTGGGACTTGGAGCCTTTCGGGATCAGCAGATTGATGCCACCTGGGCATCCTTGTTGAGCGTTGCTTGTCCACGCTCGTGACACATGCAAGGAGCAGCCGGCGGATGCAGGTGCTGAAGTGGGAGATTTGGTGGTCAGCTCAGGGAGCTGCAGGGCCCCATGCAGTGATATTTGGCCCAAAAGTTTGTCCGAACTTCATGGTGGCTTGTTCTGGGTGAGACACGGGTTTTGTTAGCTGCGCAGGCGTTCAGAGACGTTATGTCACTTCCCAAATTTTGTTCGTGAGCTCTGTGGTCAGGCATAAGGTGGGGCAGGTTGGCAAGGGGGTGACTTGTGAGTTTGTGGCATGCAATCCGCGCGCAAGCCTGAGCCATTCTGGTTCTGGGACTGTCCATAACTGTCCAGCAAAAGAAATACATCGCGTGAATTCCGACTTCCGTGCGCCGCTTGTGACAGTAGGCCTTCATCAGTTGCAACGAAGTACTGCATCCGCTCGTTGCCTGCAAAGAGGGTGTTCCCAACTGTTGCCATTCTTGGCCCTGCAGCCGTTTCCAGGTACCGAGTTGAGCAATCATGGGCGCCTACAAGTACCTTGAAGAGATGTGGCGCCTGAAGCTTGGAGGATGAATCTGTGCTGGCGCCCTGTCACGATGCTTGTAGCAGAAGAGGCTGTTTAGGATCCATTAAAAGAGAACCCCACTCTCTGGATCGCAAGTTCGAAAGTTTTGAGGCAAGAAGCAGTCGGATGTCATGCGTTTCCTTGCGCGCCTGCGCAACTGGGAGTGCGAGACTTACATTTTGCTGCGATCATGGGGTGGCCATAAGCCAACAAGTCTGATCATCATAACTTTAGGATATTTCTTTTGCAAGTGAGGCTTCGAGATCAGGGGGTCCTTTCACGTTGCTCGCGGCGGTCTTGATAGGAATCTCTCTGTGCCACCTATCTTCTTGTCAAAGGGACCAGCTTGGCTTGGTAACTTCATCTGCCATGTCCCGTGTGCGGATTGCGGGTGTGTGTAACCCAAGTGGAAAGCCACAGGTTCCGTCAGCTGCCGGCGGTGCACCGCTGCACCCGCCCCACGCGCCCTGACAAGGTGCTGTTGGGGATGGTTCCCACCACGAAACATCACTCAAGTTTCACCGTTTTGATGCGCTGTGTGGGTGGCATTCAAGCTTCACATGGGAAATCCTGGCCCTGTTCAGGCGCGCAAGGTGGGGTACAAGGCTGGAGCTGATTGAACACCTGTGGATAGCGATGCTTGTGTGGTGTGCAAGGACTGCGCATTGCGAAAACATTTCAGGTCTTATGTCAGGGTTGACGGGTGAGTGGGTGAGCAGGTGAGAGGAGCTGAGCATGACAATTAGCCATCCAAGTCCATTCCTCGGCACTTCCCCCTTCAAGGCCAAGCAGGGCTACTGCGTCTACCGTGTTCGCGTGAAGCGCGGCGACCGCAAGAAGCGCGTTGCCAAGGTGGGTGAGAGAGGATAGAGAAGCTGTAGAGAAGAGACCTGGCTATAGAGGATGTCGGCCAGAGCTGCCATGCCCATTGTGCATGAGGGCATAAGAGCTCCCTCCCATCCACCTTGCAGTGAGTTCAGGAAGTTGGGAAGCGGATTTTACTGCCTTTCAGTCTAGTCAAGTTTCAGTCCCTTGATCTGATGAAATTTGCAAACTATGCGTACAGACTGCCGCGGTACCAGGGCATCGTGTACGGCAAGCCTGTCAACCAGGGTATCAACAAGTGGAAGGTGCCTGTTGCCAGCTGTGCTGTCAAATTGCAGCTTATCACCGTAAAAGCACGTGACTTGCCAGAGCAGCCGTCTGTCTAACATCTTGATGACTTCGTGTTGTCCGTTACAGCTTCAGGCAGTGGCTATTCCTGCATAAGCTTGTGGACAGGCTGTCCGCAATCTCCGAAACATCGCGGAGGAGCGTGTGGGCCGCAAGTGCGGAAGCTTGCGCGTGCTGAACTCGTACTGGGCAATTTGTCGGCAGTGTTAAATCTTGCAGAAGTGGGTATAGCCGTCGTTTCCAATTCAGGGGCTAGGTTCCAGCCAACGTGCTAAAGCCATTTGAGATCTGTCAGGAATATCCAGGAACAGGAATCACTCCAGATCTCTGCAGCTCGGAGCCTGCTTTGCAGCTTCGAACCTCGCACTAAGGTAGCTCAGGATGCGGTGCACAAGTGGTTTGAGGCCAGATGCAGGGCTCTTCAAAATATGGGCCAGATGCCTTCCTTTTGAACGCCCATGATGCCCTCTCGGCCAAACTTGTCCGTCCATGCCGTCCATGTTGTGCACACTCGACCCAACATTTGCATCCCGGATATTGTGTGGGACCAGAGGGGCCAACATCCATACGCCCCTTAACACATCGCAACTCTTTGAAGCTTGCTCAAGCTCACTGGTGTATTTTTTCCAGTTTTACTCCAGGTGGTCATGGTGGACCCATTCCACAAGACAATCCGTGATGATCCGCGCATCAATTGGATCTGCAAGCCTGTCATGGACTGAGTTTCTGGTGTTTCTTGCACGATGCCATTATCAGGTCCACAGTACAGACCACCAGCACGAGAGCAGGCCACGCCTGCGCACCCAGGTCATGAAGCATCGTGAGCTGCGTGGTCTCACGGCCGCCGGAAAGAAGGACACGTGCTCTCATACCACCAAGCATCATGGATGTATGTCACATGCCCCTCTGATGTGCCCTTATGAGCAGAAGAGGCCCGCGGCCTCCTCAAGAAGGGCAAGCGCGCCACCAAGCTCCGCCCCTCCTACCGTGCTGTTTACCGTCGCCACTCCCTCATGCGCCTGCGCAGGGACCTAAGGCAGTATGAGTCGTCTGTGGGCATGTTCCCAGGGCTGCTAGCGAAGGTTCCTTTGCTCTTGCTTTCCTGTACTGCCGCTTTCTTTGGTCGAGCATTTTTCTAACTTGGTACCCTTCTCGAACCTTCTAGCTGCTTGCAATCCAGCACGACTTGAGTCTAACATGCATAGTGGGCCTCAGAATCCCACAGTTTTTCTGCAACAGAGCTTTCAGCTGTCCATACCAAGGCCGCTACCGCTAAGCAAAGACTACGCTGTCCTGACTTGGCGCAGTTCTCCTCACTGCCACTCCAGCCGAAGCCACCGCCTCTATCATTTTCAATTGTCTTTTTCTTATCGGTATGTCAAAGCCTGGATATCTTGTCCTGGGCTGTGGCATTCGGTTATTCTGGCAGTGATCGCAGGGACCTTCACCAGGCTCCCGTATAGGCAGCGACGTGCCAAGGTTAGGATCAGCTCGTCTTGATTGCTGGCAGTCTCTGGAGAGAAAGTCTACACGGTCACTAGGTGTGAGTGCTGGGCAGTAGTGTGGCACGGTCCGGCCTGTGTTTTGCTCCACTTTTTGCTTGCTGTGGCTGCCCTGCTGGCATTTTGTTCAGATTAGCGCCTTCTGAGAAGCACGCCAGCCCGAGAGAGCCCCACACACCCAAAAGCCACAGACGTGAACAAGTGTTCTTCTTTCTGCAAGCAATTCCTCGGTTCATGGGCTGCAGCTCTTCAGGAACCACGTCTCCGGTGGAGCCAGAAGGCAAACCCCGACTGTCCAAGCAGTTGAGCTTGCAATCAACTTTTCACGAGCCATTTCAAGGCTGTGCTGATCCAGTGGTCACGCTTCCCGGCACCCTGCTCTACGTGTCCTCTGCGCAGCCTGCGATCGCCAAGTGCTGAGTTGTTCGCCAGCGACGAGCTCCAGAACTGCTACCATTAATTTATATCTGCCAGAATCTACCAAAAACCAACATTCAAATTCTTCGCTGCCTTTGCGGGGTGAGGTTGTTCGCCGATTATCAACTGGACAAGGTGTTCTGCAGACAAATGCTCATCTGCCTGGACTGCCTGTTCTTCTGCTTCAGCTCCGTTGACGGGTGGCTGGGTTTGCAGAGATAGCGTGGATGGCTGTCGTCACCACTTGCAGGAGCTGTTGATGAAGACCGATCCGCAATCAGTTCGGCCAACATCATTGTCTCACTGGATGGGCATGTTGACGTGGCTTGGGGGTACATTAAACATCGTATTCAAATCTCCAACAAGTTGTTGTGTGAGCTGTGGCATGAGCTGCTTGGCCCAGATCTGTTGCTGCCCAATTCGTGAAGATTAGTTGGGAGAAGTATCCGGTCCCAAGGTGATCGAGGCGCCACTGCCACCAGAGAGCTTGCCTTTGCATTCGCAGTCAAGAACGTCGCTGCCACCAGCGAAGCTGGAGTTGGCAACGTGTGCACGACAAGAATTCATTTCTCCGCCGAGGCATTCGGCCACGCTTGCAGCCAGCCCAGCCACGCCTTCCCAGCCACACTCCTTTCCGGAATTCACGCCCCAATCCATGTTTCCCAGAGATCAGGGATCACGGCCGGAATCAACTCCTCTAGGGGAGTCGCCACTGTCACCTCTAGAGATCACACATCAGCTGCAAGACGCTTGGCATGGGAAGCAAAGGTTTGGGATGTTGCTTTTTGGTGCAGGCTTCTGCCATCTTGATTCTCTAGATCACCCTCTCAGGAGCGCGTGTGGAAGAATTGGTTGGATTCTGTTGCATGTTTAGTTTGGTGAAGAACTGCACAGATATCTTTGGAATGTCGCAATCTTGTTGGGTGCATTCCCTCGTTTGTGCTGTCGCTAAGGCAGGTTCCCAAGGACATGTAGCCTCAAATGCACGTCGGGCTGACTCAGCTGGCTGCCTGTCGCACCTGGGGCGTCACAGATAGAATTCCGAACGTCCATTACAAACAGGATGGAGCCAGAAGAAGGTTCAGTGTTTCTTGCTGTACGGCGCTTCTTGATTGAGGCGACCGGGCAGCATACGCACACAGCCTGTGGACGCCCTGGGACCTCACTTCGATTTCGCTGAGACCGATGCTCAGCAGGCTGCGTGCCTTTGCAATCAGAGCTGTTCTCTTTAGCCGTTCCTGTCATCCCAATTCTCTGCATCCTGATGCACTTGGAAGGAGGCCCCTGATGAAAACGAGGAGGAAGTAGAAGTCGAGGATTTCGAGGAACCATGCAAAGCTAGCCGACATAGTAGACCTGCTAGCCCCGCAATGCCTTGCATAGTGATGTAGACAGGACCATGGGGATGCTGCTGCAGCCAGGCCCGTACCAGAAAAGTTGTGCAATGGAGCTGCGAGCTTGCAGGCTTACGTCACAGTGCGTTAGCATTGCCGAGGCTTCAGGATCTCCTTCTTGCCAAGTGGGAGGCGGAATCTTTGGTTTGTCGTATTGCAAGCAAGGAGCGACAACTGAGGATTGATCAGCCGCACCTGTTTGGGCCAATCTCTGGCCAGGAGAACCATTCACAGTCTGCGCCTCGCATCAACGCTGGCCGAGATTGCACCACCCTGACTGCTTCTCGGAAGAGATTCAAGAGTGGGTGTTTGTGAATCGGTTCAAAGTGTTCGCTTGTGTCCTGATGTATTGCACCCCATTCTGCAAGGCTGTTCCTCTGCGGCCACCGCGGCGTGTGCGGCGAAGCCAAGGCTCTGCACTGAGGACTTTTGGCGCGTACAGGTGAAGAGCTGCAACGGTAGTGGTGGAAGCCTCAAAGCCAGAGATACCAGTGGTGTTGATGCTGTTACGGGCAGCAGAGGGTTTTGCTGCAACTTTTTCTTTGCCAGGCAGACATGCCTCAAACTATGACACCTGCTGCAAGCACAGTAACAAGGTGCTTGGTCCCTTGGAGCGCGAGGGCGTGGAGGTGATGTTGCACTGAAGGCCCGGCTGCTCTGCCAGGCTCGTATTTCAGTTTGGGTGCGCCGGTCACAGTCGTTCACGGCATCGCTGCCCAGAGGCCCGTGCATGCCTCGAGCCAGTGAACACATCCAAGATTGCAGGCGTGACCCTCCAATGAATCAAAGGGAAGAGTAGGCCGCCTTATCTTTGCGAACCCGATCAGGTGGCTCACCGGGTCAGTCCACACCGGAGCCGGCGTTAGATCCGGTCATCCGGAACCCTAGTTGCAGAGTTTGGGCTGCCGGAACCAAAACACACAGGTTTTTTTTTGCCTCATGTAGGAATGACAAATTGGAGGCGTGAGCATTTTGAGGGATGATGAGTGGTGAAATCGCAGTTTGTTGGCAGAAGTGTCATGTAAGTTCTTGTGGGTTAGCATTTTTCGCATGACGTGAACAGGACAGACTCGATGGTACCATGGGCTGGGCAGCAAGATGCTGCTTGTCTGACTTTCCACATTTTTCGGGTCTTGCATCCAGTTCTTGCTCAGAAATGCAGAAGTCTTCTTGTGGTTTTCTAGAAGCACGGGCTCAAGAACAGCCACATTGAAACGGGACTCTTGACCAGACCTCATTCTTCATGCTCCAGGTTTCCGCAACACCGCTTTTCGTGGCATCAGCCTCAGAATCTGGTGACGCCCAGGACGCATGTTGTCACTTCGAGTGCTGAGTTCAACAAGATATGAGCTATAATCTCAACTTGTTAAACGGGGTTATATAGCGGATCATATATTTAGACTAGAGCTCATGTGTGGTTTGCAGCTTCTGGCAGCTACGGCAGGATGTGCATTCAAACGATTCCTCACTGGCAGAGCGTGGCAAGGTGTTGGATGCATTCCTGCATAATGTCTTCTCACCCCTAGTAGCTTAGCGCCAACAAGGTAGGCTCCACATTCTTGCTCAGGAAAGCCTTAGATGAATGATGGATCCCGATCCCATGGGCCACCTCATGTAGGGCAGATTGACCCGAAGTCTAAGATGCTGATGTGGCGCCTGCACCTGTTGGCACGGTTAGAATTTGTGATTCTCCTTGCTAGGCTGGGATGGAAAGCTAGGTCCTGATAGCGACTGAGTTCTCCACCAGCCGAGCATATCTTCAGTCTGGCTTTCCTGCACCTGCTTCAAGAAGGAGCTGAAACTTGATCCATGCAGTTTCCAGGCCATGACCTAGTGGTCACGGTTGCCAGAAGCTGTTGCCCTTTTTAAGCACAGAGTGTTGGAATATCGTTGATTCAGGAGAATGTCTTTGACTTGGGCACTTTCATGCCTGATGGCTGGTGGAACACTATCCTTGAGTTAATAAACTAACTAGCAATACAAACGTAATAGTATTATTCATAGTAATAGTAATACCAATAAGTATAATATGATAAATGATGAGTGTCCATCTAGCAGCATCACCGAAAACTGCGTCGAATCCGGAATGTTTCCCATGAAGGAGGTCAGCTGGCTTCCAACACATGGGGCTAAACATGGCTAATGGCTAAGTCGCAAGGCTTCCTCTCCAGCCGATTTCACACCTTGGCGAGAGGTTGAAAAAGGTCAACGGGCCAGAAGATAAGGCACAGCTGTTGCTCAGTCCTTGCTCGCCACAAAGAGGCTTATGCCGAGATACCTGGAGTAGCTTCTGGTAAGTTTATGGAGTAGCAACCGTGGTGCAAAACCAACCTGTAGCTGCTTTGGCTCTCCGCATTAGTAAGCTTTCTGTCCATCCGGTCATATCCAGGTCAGGAAGCTGATCATGGCTCTCTCGGTGGCAATGGGCCTCACCTTACTGGTGCAGGCATTTGCCTCACCACGGGTGGCGATGGTGGTTCCAGCACAGGACGCTTCCCAGGGCTTCAAGCCCTTCTTGTTCACAGTCTTCTTATTGTACTACTGCTGGCATCGTCATGATGCCCATAAGCAAGAATGCGGGCGCTACAGCTTTGCACATAGCTTTGTCCATCTGACTGAGCGGAAAGGACATCCTGAATGATGAGAATGGTAAGACTCCCCCGTCTCTCTACGCTGCGAAGCTTCAGAGCCTTGGTGCTTGTAGAAGACTTACAG